CCCGGGGGGCGGCGGGGCCGCGCAGAAACCCCCGCCCGCCGGCTCTGCCACCGCCGTCCCCCAGAAAAGCGCGACACGAAGGCGGCTCCGCCACTCACCTCGCCCCGGCTCCGGGGGAGCTCCGGCGGGCAGCGGCGACGCCCCACAGAACAGAGGGGCGAGGCGCCGGGCTCGCTCCCGCTCGCTGCCGGCGGCGGCACCCGGGTCCGCTCCGCCTGCAAGACCCCCTCGGCGGCGGCGGCTGCTGCTGCTCCTGCCACCACTAATGGTGGCCGCTGATACCGGTTCCTTTCGCCGCTCCCTTCCTTTCCCGTTCCTTGTTTCCGCCGAGCGCGGAACCGCCTCCGCCCGGCGACCGAGGCGCGTCCCTGCCCAGCAGCGGAGACGCCGCTCCCTACACGCCGCTACCGCCCCAGCACCGCCGCCGCGCCGGGCTCCCCCCGCCGCTCACTTCCGGCGCGCGGGCCGCGCCTCGCCCCGCCCTGCCGGGACCGGCGCCAGCCACGGGGGGCGGCGACGGCCCCACAGCGCCGGAGCGGCCGTTGGGCGCGCGAGTGTCCGTTGTGCAGGCGGGGGACGGTCGGGCACGCGAGCGGCCGTTGGGCGCGCGGGGGCCCGTTGGACGCGCGAGGGCCCGTTGGGCGCGCGGGGGACGGTTGGGCGCGCGGAGCCGATCGCTCGATCCCCGCGGAGCCCATCGCTCGATCCCCGCGGAGCCCATCGCTCGATCCCCGCGGAGCCCATCGCTCGATCCCCGCGGAGCCCATCCGCTGGTGCCGATCCCCACGGAATCCATCGATCCCTGCGCTGCCGTTGCCCGCTGCGCGGGTCCGCCCGCGCCGGGCGGTGGCCGGCGCGCTCTCGGCGGGTGCTGCTCGCGCTCCAGGCAGCTTGGGGCTGCGGTTCCTTCCGCAGGTAAAGGCGCTGTGGGACGTTCCCTGTTCCGATCACCGAAGGTTTCTGTTGTCAGCAAATTGCCAAATCCTACCGAAACCCTCGGTCGTGTGTCCCGCTGATCCTGGGCCAGCCGCTGACCGTGCCACCTCGGCTACGCTCTTGCCCCCGCTTCTCACCCTACCACAGCTTCAGGGACGAGATCACCGTTTTTAAAGTTATTTACAAAATTGGATAAACGCATTGCTTGCTACTGCAAGTAGTGCTATAGGAGAGGAGATTCGCTTAAGTACAGTTTTTTTTGCCTGGAGGTTCCAAGCTACAGCAGTGCAGGAGAGGTGGCATCCACGCTGCCTTCCGCCGGGAACGTGCTTCTCCCTGTGCTACAACCGCTGTCTGTTGTGACAGAGCACAGGCATGCTTTACATCAGCGTTTATCTGTCAGTATTTGACAGGCAAAAAACTTCAATAAGTTAAAGTACAGTATTTTCCATAAATGTGAACAATTATGCAAAATTATGCGTGTTTTACTGCTGTAAGTACTAATTAACCAATGAGAATACAGGCTAGGTCAACAGCAACGTGAAGATCTGTTTAAAATACAAGCTAGTACATGGAGAAAATTATTTTCATGTGTACATGCAATTAAGTAATTTGAAAAACAAAGTTCACCTATAGAATTTTAACATCTAAAATATTTGCTATGTGAATTCACCTTAACGTGTAATCACTTACAAATTCTGGACAACATAATAAAATGTTGCCAATTAACAACATCCTAGACAAGCCAAGATCAAAGTTATGGATGCAGAAATATATGAATTATCAATATGGAATAAAAATACATGCATTGATCACCAAGAGACTACAGTAGTCTTCTGGAAATAAAATGTTTTTAATCCAACCATTCAAAATTCTACACTGCTGCTGATACATTGTTTCATAGTTTGTGAAGTCCCACAATTAAGAGGTGTCTGGGCTCACATTATTTAGTAAAAGTGGTAAGTACTTCAGTTTTCAGTGCTGTTCTGCACATGCTGCATATCAACAGTGAGAGTGAGCTGGCAGAGACCATGAATCTGATGTTATCAGCAGGTTTAGACTTTGTCTGCAGGTTGTATTAATCCCACCACACTTTCCTACTGATCCTCCATGACCCTGAAGGGATTACAATGACAACACCTCCCCCAGAAGCAGACCTGAGATGGCTGGAGGAAGCACAGGGAGTCCACGGGCAATGCAAGGAGCAACTTGGGTGTGCCGTGGCCAGGTTCCTTATGGCAGCTCCATGGCAGCTGACCCAGAACAGAAGCACTGCCAGGTCTCACGTTCTGCACTGCTGCAGCTGAGGAACTGCATGGCCATGAAGTGTGCAAACTTCATACACTCAACTATGAAATTCTCTCAGATGGAAAAATAGGCTACAGCTGACTACTGCAAACTCTGATTTTGGAATGTGGAAATATTATTCCCTTATATCAAACTTGCTAAGTTGTCCCTGAGCCTGTGCAGACTATAGACAACAGAGTTAATTTAATGTAGGGTAGAGATCAGAGCTAGTCCCATTTGGATTTGTGTGCATCCTACAGAACCACTATCCAATTACAGATGTAAGTTACTAATGTAAAATCATCCCCCAGCCCAAGGAAATAGTACATACCTGCAGATGTTGGGAGAGATTTTCAAAGTACAGCAAATTTAGTCATACATCTGCCAATAAAATTAACAGGTAATGAATTAAAAAAAATAAGTGAAGCCTTTTGAGTAGGTTAAAAGGTCAGCTTAAATGTATATCTGCATTGAAATAAAAAAAATTATACAAGGGATCATTTTTGAAATCAGGGCAATAATTCCATGGCTGTTGACCCTTTCTTCTCCCAAAATGCCATCTATCAATCTCAATTTTACTTATAGCTAAGCACTGTTGGCAGCTGAACTTAATTTAGAATACTTCAAAGGTTTTATTTTCTGTATTTAAATAATTTTGAATAAGAAAACATAAATAAGCAAAGGTTATATAGGCTTCTGGATCATTAAACAGTTGGGAGAATTTCCGTGCAGGGTACACCAAGGAAGGGCTGGAAATATGAGGGTTCAAAATTAACAAAAACCTCTCATCTTGATTGTTTTGTTGGACCTAAGAAAGCTCAATGACTCATGCAGTCGAAATTTCACATTTTGGTGAAGACCTGCTGGGTCTGACCCAGACTGACAATCAAAACTATATGTGTGTGCATATATAGGTACATCTGTATATCTATGCAACTATCCCATCATGGAACCTCAAGCATGATGCCTTATGATGCCTGCCAGCTCTAGCAAGAAGAGCAGTCTGACTCTTTTCACCTGCTTCTTTATGAATTTCTTTTGCCAGCTACAGAGTTCAAGACACAAAATCATTAAAAAGCCTTTCATGTTCATCAATAGCTTGCTCAGACTATATTGTATCTATTGTTGCTCACCTAGCTATAATGGCATTTCCAAATGGGAATTCTGACAAAGTATTACAGTATTTCTTAGGAACAGGTATACCACCCATAGCCATTAACATCAATAATTCAGCTCATCCATACTTACGTTAAAAATGTCTTCTCTCAGATCTTGCCTACTGTTCATAAAAAAGAATGTCTTGAAGGGCTCCTGACCTTGCAGCAACTGGTATGATGACAGGAGTAGCCTGGAATACAAATGCAGACTTGTACAGGAGTTTCTGGGGTTTCAAGCCAGCCAGCATGATACATAATCCATTGCAGAAACTCCTCATGTTCTAGGTTAAGGCTACTAAGCTTTCTCAGGACTACTGTTCAATGGGAAGGCTGCTGCTATTTGCATGGGGGAACAAGTTTGGAGGAGCACCAGCACAAACACTGGAATGAAAACACTGTTTTTTGAACCCATTTAATCAGTGTAAATGAGAGAAATTTTGACTAATTCCAGCTAAAGTACTCCTGAATTACAGTGGGATGACAGCTCTGAATCCAAAGCACAGAATGTCTGTGAATGAAAATATAACCACTCTTTTCTTTATGTGCTTTCCCTTCACTCCACCTTTAAGAACTAGAGAAGCATTCATTGTCTTTTTCAGGTGATGAGGGAATAAGCTTTCCCTAGAGCCAGAAAAGAAACCTTGATCATAGCCAAATTCTGAATTCTGCTCTCATCAATGCCAAATCTGTCCTTTGCTTGGGAGGGGACTTCATTACAGACTTTTATTATTGATACTCTTTTTATGGGAATGTCAGCATTGCAGACTAGCAAATAATCTATCTATAGCCTTCATGATCATTATTATTCCTTTTAATGAATACTCAAACAACCCCACAACAATATCTCAATAAATCAGCATGGCTAAGACATGGCAAAAAAGCATTTCTTCTTGACCCTCAAATCAATCAGCTTATGCTGCTGAAGCAGGAAGCTTGTTTGTCCCCTGCATTGTTGTAATCTAGTGCATACAGCTGCAAATGTTGTCTTTGCTCACAAAGCTTCTTAAATCCCTTTTTTAATTCTACTAAACTCTTTGCCTTGATGACTGCCCATGACAATTGGATTCCATAGACAGAAAATATACTGTGTGAAATCATATTGAAAACGTGTTCTGGAAGGTTTTGCTCTATGAATTGGGGCATAGAGGCTGCAATTAGCTGACTTCACTAAACACTTGATGAAATTTCATTTTATGTGAAATCCCCCTTGCCTCCATGATCTCTGTACCCTCCATTACTCTTTATTCTGCACAGTTAACTTTCTGGTTCCTTTTTAAGTCCTCTGAGGCAAACCCTGGCCCCCATGAATGTATGTGGGCACCTGTGCAGCCATGCACATAAAAATAGGGAAGGACCAACACACACATAGATTAGGATCTTCCAACATACAGGGCACCACAGGGACTCTGTGGACTCTCCTCCCAGGCTGAAGTCAGTAATTGATTTTAATGGGAGCAGGGCTGAGCTAATGCTGGCACTTTGGAAAATCCCACCCAAGGGATTTGGTGATATTGAAAGTGCTTGAGGCAGGTTAACTGCAGGCATTTCCACTAATGGGGAATGGCACAGTTGTCTTTATTAATTTTCCTTCTCCAAAGTGCAATTAGAATATATATATTTTTATATCCTTAGGAACAAAATAATATAAAATGCTTCTATTTCTAGAGACTTACTGAGAGGCAAATAAATGAGTGATTTTCTGCAGCAGAGTTACAGGCCTTAAGATCTATCACACTCCCCAAGAATCTATTAATACTTTCTTGCTGCCCTTCTTTTTCCTTCAGCTGACTTAATACGATTACAAGGGAAATAATGTCAGTGTGGGTCCCA